CGCGCGGCTGCAGAACCACCGCGACGGGTCCTCCCCGGTGGCCGGGCGGCGCGCAGGCTGCGGGCGCTGCGACCCCGGCAGAAGGGAGGCCCCCGCCCCGGAGAGGCTCAGCCCGGCCTCGCGCGGGGACCCTCCCCCGCTGGCCCCGACCGGGACCCGGTTCCACACCGCGCTGACCGGCCCGCAGCCGCGGGGTTCGCCCCTTGCGCAGAAATGTGTTCTTTCATTCGCGGACTTAATAAACACATGTAACCATATCACAAGGGGCCCCGCGCCGTCCTTCTGAAAGTAATTCTGCTGTTGAAAACTGAAAAATGGGTGTAATTTGCGTTCAGAAAGTGATGCTGGGGTCACGGCAATTTCCCGGGCCGTTATTTATTTTTACTTAAAGTCTTTAGGGAAGAGTTGCTTATATACTCAGGAACCTTCCAGTGCGGGCAATGCCGCTCGCCTTCGACGTGGGGGGAGGGTGGTGTGGAGAACAATTACTGAGTGACGCTAATATGGGGAAACTGAAAAGAAATGTCGATTGTTTTTATTGTAACAGAAGGAGTGAGCAAACAGAAAAACCAACCCCGAGTGATCGGAAACAGGCAGGCGGAGAATTAAAGGCGAGTTCCCGGCGGCAGCCGGCCCCTCCCCTGCCCTCGGCAGGAGACCGAGGCCACGAGCGCTCGCCGCCCTCGCAGCCCCGGGCCGACCCCACGGCCGCAGCGGGATCGCGCGCTCAGGACCGCGCCCGGGGGGCTACTGTCTTTGGGGGGAAAGGGTCTTGTTTCGGAGCGTCGTCGGCAGGAAGGCGGAGAGGCCGCGGGGAGGCCTTGGCGGCTCTGGGAGAATCCTCCGGGCCTCTCCGGGGGCCCCCGCGGCCTCTTCCTGGGCTGCTGCGTCGGTCGCGTCCGCAGCCCGGGGAGCCCGAGCTCGCAGGTCAGTGCGCGGGCACCGCAGGCCCCCAGCCCCGCCCCGCCCCAGCGCGGCCGAGGGCCGCAGAGGCCCATCTCCCGCTCGCCTCGGCCCTTTCCTCTACATGCGACCCCTGCCGCCCCCGCCTTCCAAGCGCCGATCCTCCGGCATCAGCCTGGGGTGGACCCTCCCTCAGTTCGGGCCCTGCGTGCTCTGCTCGCTGCCACTCACGCTGGGAGGTGGAAGGGGCTGAGGAGCGGTCGCTGACCCCGCGAGGCGAGGACCTGGCGTGGGCCGATAGGTGTTGAAACCCACGGCCTGGCGTCGGCAACGCAGTTCCGCGGGGGGTCAGAGAAATCCGGCCTCTTTCTCACTGCGTCCTTCACTCACCCTGCGAGAGCCGCTCGGGTGCGGAGCCGGATGCGGGGTCTCGCCTCTGCCTCATTCCTCCCTCGGACGCCTGGAAGGACTGTGTTTGCGCGGTGCTTCGAAAACCCACCCGAGTCATGTCCTGACTGTTCCAAAGCCCCGAAACTTCCCCGCAGGGCAAGCGAGGGGCACCGCCGTTCCGGCCTGACTCGGGGTCCTGCTTGTTTCTGGAGTGGGGCAGGTTGAGGACTCTGATGCTTAATGTTCTCCCGGGCCGACTCCGCTCTTCCTAAGTGCGCCTGGGAACAGCAGACCGCTCCCAGCGCACACGCAGGCCGTTCTCGAGCTGCACCCGCACCCCCACCCGCAGCGGTCGGCTCTGACTCGCAGACCCGGGTGTGCAGGCTCCTGGCAGAACAGCCCAGGGCGTCAGTTGAAGTTGGAGCGAGGGCTCCGGCTCCTAGCAAAGCCCGTTGCACCCGGGTCTGACCTCGGCATCCCCCAGGCGGCTCTTGCCAGGCCGCGCTAGGGCGGCCTCGGACGGGGCTAGATTCTAGTCCGCGGTTCGCAACCCTCCTCAGACAGCACTAGGGCCAGGAGGGGGTCGCCGCAGGTGACTGCCCGCGGCACCGGGCCTGCTGACAGATTTATGAAGACTCTAAAGCATCTGGCCTGGGCTCGCAGGTGCAGGGCGAGAGTCCATCCAAAAAAGCGCGCTACGGACTAAAGTTCTCCCAGCCGTGTGCCCAGGCTGGACTGCCTCTGGAGTCCTGGGCCCCGGTGCCCTCGGGCCGAAGTACAGGTTTGTTCGCTTCAGTGCTGAGCATAGGGATTCTCTCCAACCCCCCGTAAACTCCTTGCTTCACACTCTCCCGCCCGGCCAGTTTCTAGTCTCCCACTGAGTAAATATTTACCCAGAGAGTGGGTCTCTTCTCAAAGGAGGCCTCGACAGCGCCCTGGAAAGGGCTTTTGGCTTCTCCCCAGCCTCTAGTAGCTGCAGGCCGTACTAGTTGTGTTTTGGTTTTCATCTTAAATTTCTTTTAGTTGAAATTCTTCCGATCTGTGTGTAATCTCCTGCGTCCAGAGCGGGCAGTCACCAGGGGGATGCTGACCCCAGCTGACCCGTGCCTTTTTTCGAAGTCCTGCATCCCTGTGCCCACCACCTAGGGTTGCTGCTCCTCAAACTCTCCTTTCCTCCTTCCCTTCTTCCCTCCCTCCCTCTGTTTCTGTCCCTCTTTCAGGTCATTTGTCTCTCATTCATCTGATGGTCTAATACCTGGCCACAGCACTCAGTGTCCCCCCCCGGGGGGTAGGGTTCAGAATCAACCCCTTCCTCTAGGATTCCCTGAAGCTTCCATTCCTCTTGCCCCAGGAGCCCCAGTCTGGGCTTCCCGGGTACTTGAGCATTCCAAAAAGCCAAAGATTCTACATGCGCTGTTGGGAATGCGCTGAGCTGAGCGCGCTGTGCCTCCTCTTTGTCCCCCAACCCACCTACTTGAGGTGTGAGGTGGCCTTGTCTGGCTACCATGGAGCAGAGAGTCCCTGCAGCTATGACCACATTCCAGGCCAAGGCCAGGTCCAGCAGGTGGAAATGGACATAGTTGCGGACCTGTCCATTCAGGAACTCCCTGAGATGAGGCAGCTGCAGGAGATGAGGGAATGAGAGTGTGTTAGGTCCACCTACTCAGAAGTGTGAACAAGAGTTTCTAGGCCATTTTGGGCTGGTGCTGTAGCCCCCAAGGAGAAATCATAGCTTACACGGGGCACTGGGTCTTGCCAGCCCCAAGGAAGAACAGCTTTTTACTGACACCGCAGACCCTCAGAGCTGCGAAGCATTCACTGAGTGCACTGGGGCTGAGCAGAGCCCGCCCGCAGTAGGTTGCTACTCACTGCGTGTTTCTGAGAGGGAAAAGAGTCAGAGGGATTCCTAATCAAGGTGCCCAGCATGTTTATTCCTACCCAAAAGCCTAAGGCAGAATCATAAGCTCTCCTCAGTTACTGCAGTCTCAACTAATTTGTACCCCAGCCCCAAGAAGGAGCTGCTGCTGCTTCTAAAAGCTTGGATTCCAAAAGACCTTTGCGTTGTAAAGTGCCTGTCGGTGTGACTCAACAGGTATTGGGGGTCAGGACCAGTAAGACCCCTATCAAGTCAAACTTTGAGATTTTAAACAGTTGGGGAGAGAGAAGGCAGGTAAGTTCAAGTGCTGTATTCCTAGTTGTAGGACACCGATGGTAAAGAATTAAGGGAACTCAAATTCATCTTTCCTTTATCTTTTAAACTCTTCGTACCTGGAAATTTGAACATAGAATGTCTACCATAGAAGAGTAAGGATCTGAGGATTGCTGTTCGTTTCAAAAAGCACAGCTGATCGTTACTTTCTGCTGGTTTCTTGCCACTGACTTCCCCGGGATCTTGGCCCAGTCAGCTTCTCCGTAGACCAGAGTAACACACATCCCTTGAGATCGTGAGAGGATCAGCCCAAATCCTGGAAGGAGTGGTCAGTCAATAGACAGCATGCGTATCACAGACCCGAAGCAGGACGACTGAAAAGTTCATTTTAAAACAATGTTCCACATATTGTTGTAAAATGTTGATTAGCGTTCTCTATAACTCACACTCAAAACGAGAATAATTTTGGCCACCCAAGAGAGAACTGTACACTTTAGATTAGATTCAGGGTGAACGAAGTGGAAACTCAGAGGAAGGCTGAACCCCGGGCCCTCTGGTCGGTAAACCGAAGATGCGGGCATTACATAGACATGCAGACCAGGTATTCATCTTTCCGGGATAAAGTCTTTTTTATATTTAAACAAAACCCCTTTGCAGGGGTTTTGTGGTGGTGGTGAAACCGGCAGATGTTTGCACCAGGCGCCCGAGGACCGGCACCTTGTCGCGGGAGTGCGCCCCAGGCGCAGGCATCAGTCGAAGGTGGCTGTGCGCTCGCCTCGGCCGCGCGTGGCTGCCTTCCCTGCGCCCGGCTCGGCCTCTGTCTGCAGCCTGTGTGGCTGCGGGGTGGCCCTGCGCCCCTGGACAAACCCTCCCCTGGAGACTGGGGTATGGGGCTAGTCGCGTGGGGGGTGGGCAAGGAGAGGTTTTGTTCTGGTGGTGAGCATGGCCTCCTCCTCTGACTTTGTCTCCCCTAAACCTCGTAGTCCCTCCGATGGGCCTCCCTTCCCACCCCTCGCTGGGGTGTGTCCACCCGTAACAGTTCTAAGACCTTGGTAAGCGCCCCCCACCCCCGCCAAAGTCTCCTCAGCCCCTTCTCTCTTCGAGTTTCTCATATGAGGACCAAAAGCTTTAATTTGCTTATTCAGCATTTTCATCAGCCTGATTTTGCTGTCTACTTGCGTTACTCCTCGGAAGGTGTCAAACACCAATTTCCATTTTATTGAGTCACCCAGGTGCGGAGCTAGCATGAAGAGACAGCGGAAGGACTTTCCGGGACGGCGCTGTCGCTCACCGGCCCGCACCAATCACCACGCGGCTTGCCCTCGGGCCCTCCTCCTTGGGGGGCGTGTCCATGGTGAGTGATAGACAGAGCTGCCCGCCTTGCTCAGCCCAGCCCACGTTGCTGCTTAGATTGAAATGCAGAACTCAAGCCACTTTCTACGGGGCAGAGACTTCCTTTTACTCCTTCCTTTTGCACTCTCGCCGCCTCCTCCCGGGAAGAAGCGGAGGCACGACGGTCTGGGGCAGCGACAGGCTGGGCCACTGAGGCCGTGCGGGAAGTTTCTTTCTGGGAGCTCGGAACTGGGGCCCGGTTGGTGTGCTGCTCGGAGCAATGGGTGAGTGGCTGCGGGGGACGCTGTCAGAGCCGGAGAGGGAGGGAGTAAGCGAGAGAGGGAGGGAGAGGGAATGCGAGGGCGCGCACCTCTGAGCGCTCACACTCTCCTTATTGACTTTGCTCTACAACTTGTAGGAACACGCTAAGGGTCAGAGGCGCACAGCAGTTCAGTCTAAACGCTGGCTACTGGGTTGCTGCTGATGCCATTTTCTGATTTTAAGAGAAGGGAGCGGTGGCATCAGCAAGCCCCGCAGCCCCTGTGGCAGACCAAGTTTTGTTTCACATACATGCCCACTGGCAAACAAAACAAAAAACAAAACCAAACAAAAAAAACCCAAAAAAACCCCCGACCTTCCCCTAGAGCCTAATTGCGCAGGTCCCCAAAAGGGGCGCTGAGGATCGAGGGGGAGCAGCCTAAGGACTTCAGCGCCCAGGAGCCGAGTAGGAGCCAGTTACAGGCGTCCAGACCGATTTCCCCAACCGATTCCAAGACTTTTGAACACTCGGAGCGGCCCGCGTCTCACCACTGTATTTGTTTCTAGCGGCCGCAGGCACCACCGGAATGAGGGAGGGGGTCTGATTCGCCCATAGCGGTTTAGGACCGTTCCTCAAAACTCGGGGGCCTCAGGGTTTGAAAAAAGCCTGGGTCCTCAGTCCGGGGCGGATGCAGCCTCCTGGGCCCCTGCCGCGCGCGGAGGCCGAGTGGCAGGCGACTGTCCCAAACTGCGGGTGCGCGTCCCTGCGCGCCCTATGTTTGTTTTGCAGAGCCAGCCTTTGGGGAGGTGAACCAGCTGGGAGGAGTATTCGTGAACGGGAGGCCGCTGCCCAACGCCATCCGGCTTCGCATCGTGGAACTGGCCCAACTGGGCATCAGACCGTGTGACATCAGCCGCCAGCTACGGGTCTCTCATGGCTGCGTCAGCAAGATCCTGGCGCGGTACAACGAGACAGGCTCGATCTTGCCTGGAGCCATCGGGGGCAGCAAGCCTCGGGTCACTACCCCCACTGTGGTGAAGCACATCCGGACCTACAAGCAGAGGGACCCCGGCATCTTCGCCTGGGAGATCCGGGACCGCCTACTGGCCGACGGCGTGTGTGACAAGTACAACGTGCCCTCTGTGAGCTCCATCAGCCGCATCCTGCGTAACAAGATCGGCAACTTGGCCCAACAGGGCCATTACGACTCATACAAACAGCACCAGCCTGCACCGCAGCCGGCGCTGCCCTATAACCACATCTACTCCTACCCCAGCCCCATCACGGCCGCCGCCGCTAAGGTGCCCACGCCGCCCGGGGTGCCCGCCATCCCCGGCTCCGTGGCCATGCCTCGCACCTGGCCGTCCTCGCACTCTGTCACCGACATCCTGGGCATTCGCTCCATCACCGACCAAGGTAAGGAGAGCTCAAGGGCCGCTGTGAGGATGTGCAGAGCCTTCCTCCGCACCGTCGCTGGGGTCTCAGTATTTGGGGCCTCAGCCAGCGTCTATCCCACCACCTGGGGCCTTTTCCTTTGGAAATGTAAGGAGTCTTCCCAGGGGGTGTCCTGATCTCATTAACTTGAAATTCATGCCCTCGGTTTCCTTGCCACACACAGTCTCCTGCCTCATCTCAAACTACCAGACCCTAACTTCCCCCCATCCCCAACACATGGTTCGCATTTTCCACCCTCCCCCGCCTCTCCCGCTGCCGCAGCCTCAGACCTGCTCGCTCACTTGGGGAGCACGGCCGGGGCGGACTTGGGGCGCAGCCCGAGAGATCAGAGCCGGCGTTGGGCTGCCGGCTGCAGGCGGCCTGTGTGGGGATCAGATGCGGCCGCGGGGAGTGGGGCACTCTGTGGAAAATGCGGTGTTCTTCTTGAGGATTCTAGCAATCAGGCCAAATTTGCTCAGGCAGGAAGTTCAAATGTCAGCTAATTGGTTTCATTCTTATGCTTCACTTCATTTTCCTCGGAAACGGAGGTCCGAAAGTTACTACTAGCAACTTGCATGTTACTACATTGCTCATTCTGGGACAATTTTCTGCTATATTTCTCTCTCCCTCTTAGCTGAACAGACTACACTATATACGTATCTTAGAAAGGGCCACCAACCACTGCCGTGGCACTTTGTAAGTGCTCCGTGATTCTCTGCTGTCCTCTCTTCTGTTCTTTTCTGTCTGTCCGCCCCTGCCGCTTCCTTTCAGGGTCCCCAGCTCCCCGGACGGCAAGTGGGCATCTAGTCCCTGCACGTCTTCAACGATGCCACCCCACAGTTCCTTTCCTTTCTCACCCTTGACCTTGCAGTGCTATAAGTGTCTTTTCTGCTCAGTAAGAACGATTCCCGGAGCCCTCTGTTCCCTCGGGCTTCCTCAAGAGCCCCGGGGTTTGTTTTCTTTTACTGCGTTGTTAAAACAAAGCAAAACAAAGCAAATGGCATAAATTTCTTTCTCGGTAGGGCGAAAAGAAAGTCAGAATACCCCAGACGCAGAATTTAAATATTCCGGAGATAAAGAGCCTACATTCTTAATTTTTCCAGCCTAAAGTTTAAAATGTGTGGAGGAAAAATTAAATAGGAAGGGGTGGTGGAGGAAATAGTTCCTTTAATTATTTCCTGCCTTTCTTATTTACTACCACATTGGCACCATTATCTTTTAAATAATTAAATCAGAGCCCCAATTTCTCATCTTCTTGTTCCCTGTGAATTTACAAGATCCTTCTAGGAGTTCAGTTAGTCTTATCCAGAGCTGGTTTGGAGCATTAGTTGGAGAGTTTGCCCTTGATTTATAGGATAAACTGACCTCACTGACATTTAAAGGAAGCCCCTGTTCATGGGAAAGTGTGAGATCAGCAGAAATGGGGGCTCATGGGGGGATCTCAATTTCTTAAGATAACTTCGAGCTTGTGCCCACCGATTGCCTTTTGTCTGGGAAGGCAAAGACAGACTGGCAGTTCTGGGCCAAAATACAGTTTCCTGGTGCAAATTGGAACGCTACCTAATTCTTTGGAGAGGGGGAGGGACAGTGAAAGAAGACTGACAGAGCTGAAAAGAAACCTTTTCTTCTCCAGGGATCCTACAGTCAGACCAAATGTCAGTTGGGAAAGGACTGGATTGTTGAGAGTAGTAACTCTTCATTCTAGATGTTGTCGATCCTGGATGCCAGCTATAAACAACCTGTTTTCTGACAAATCTGTGAATATAAAAAGATTGTTTCTAAAACGGGCCATTTCTACCAAACTTCCAAGCACTGTGTCTGGTGGAAGTATTTCATATCAAGTCGTAGTGGCTTTGTCAGCCTTTGGTCCTCCACCCATAGGTCCCAAAGACAGAACACACTGCTCGTAATCTTCAAACGTCGTCTATTTGAAATTGCACTTGGTCACTTAAAGATGCCAAGGATTCAATATGCACTCCCTTAGGTATTGTGCTAATCAGTTTACACCACGTAACTTACTTTTGCATCTCTACGCAGAACATAAAGGATAACCCGTGGCTTTATTCCTTTAACAAACATTTAATTCTACTTTCATTTTCTTAACCTTTTAAATCATAAAAGTCACCACAAAAATGACGCACATGACATTTACAATGGCAATTGCAATGCCTTTTTTTTTTTTGAGTCATATGCATGTACCCTCATATTCCACGTCTACAGAAAGGGCATCGAGGCCGGTCGCACACAAGGGAAAAACCTATGCACATATATTTTACGTGTGTATTGTAGGCAGCATTTCGTTGTGTTTGCAAAGAACTCTGCAGGCCTTTTGTTCCGTCCAGTGACAGAACTACCCGGTGCTAACTAGAGAGAGCACCCACCTGGACGTGTCTGCGCCCCAGCACGGAGGTGGTTCGGCCAGGACGCTCCCCTCTCCCTTTTCAGTCCCGTCCATTTCCAGAGTGTTGCCAACCCCCAGTCCACGCTGGGTTAGAACTGGGGAGAACGGTACAACCAGCTTTACGGGGTCTTACCCGTATTTGGAAACATTTTAGCAAAACGGTCAGGTTCCTTCCACCGGTTTCTCTGGGGGAGCCAGGGAAAACCAAAGACCGGTTGAAAAGAAAAAATGTTTCCTCAGGCGTGGGTGAGGGATCTGGGAGAGGCCTACTACGAGGCGGTCCCCTGCCGGGCCCTGGGCCGCAAGCCGGAGAGGCCGCGCCTCGGCCCCGCGCCCCTGGGAGGCCGAGGGCCGGGGGCCGCAGGGGGTCGGGGCCGCAGTGCTCGCTGGTCGCGGGTGCAGGTCGCGTGTCAGGAGGGGGCACGTGTTTTGGGCCGCCAGCCTGAGGTCTTCTCCTCCCCAGGAGTGAGCGACAGCTCCCCCTACCACAGCCCCAAGGTGGAGGAGTGGAGCAGCCTGGGACGCAACAGCTTCCCCGCCGCCGCCCCGCACGCCGTGAACGGGCTGGAGAAGGGAGCCTTGGAGCAGGAAGCCAAGTACGGCCAGGTGAGGAGCGAGGGGCGGCTGCTGGGCGGCGGCGCAGCCAGGTCCCGCCCTGACCCCGGCGCAGGGGAGGAGGCCGCGGCCGTCTGCAGGCCGGCGCTGAGCCGGTCCCGCGCAGACTGGGGGGCCGGGCGGGGAGGCGCCCCTTCCTTCGTGCGCGCAGTTGAGGCGTCGACTCCCGCCAGGGTCCGGGAGGCCTGGAGGCGCCTCCCGGCCTGTTTCGGGGCCCTGTCCGCCGGCCGCCTGGGGGCCGGGGTTGCCCGACCTGGGCCAGGGGGCGCCTCCGACAGGCTGCGGGGCAAGTGTCCTCCACGCCCGCCCGTGGAGCGCACGCGGGAGGTCTCGGCTCCGAAACTGCGGGGGCCGCGCGCTCCGGGCGGCGCGCGCTCCGGCTCCCGGAGGACAAACCAGCGTGGCTTGTGCTGTGGTAGCGGGAAGAGGGCAACCAGATAATCTTAATAAAGTTACCATTTCCCGATTAAAGGTCACGTCGGAACCTCCCAAGGGAGCTTAGTGAGAAAACCTCAAATTATACGGACTGGCTGTGGACCGTTTAATTTTTTTCCCTCTGTCCCTCCCCCGACGCTACTAAAGAAAAATCAAGCCACCCGTGTTTTTTTTTTTTTCTTTTTCTTTTTCTTTCTTTTCTGAGAAAGATCAAGCAGCCACAACAATAAAAGCTCCAGAGTTCGGAGTCTAAATTCATCACCACGCTAGAATCAGGAGTTCGAAGCCCAAACTCACTCTCTCTCTCTCAAAATAAAACAAAACAAAACAAAACAACAAAACCTCCCACCAAACAAAAATTTAAAGCAACGTAAAGTTTCTTCAGCAGATGAACAAAGCCGGGCAGGTTTGCAATTTCTTAATATCAAACTCCAATTCCAAAGCCTCAGAGTATCCAGTTTTCATTTCATTCTTTTAAAGTCCTAACACTTTCCATGTATTCTTGTCTGTAAAACTCAGCTTTTTAGGTAGAATGGAACTTGTCACTTTTATTTGCTGGAGAGAAAAACTTAGTTGTTATTTTCTCTAACAAACCCATTTTAACTTCTTCTCCCCTTTATTTTGTTAGAGTTGAGTCAGATTCGTAGTAACAACTCTCCCATGATAAATATCACAGAAAATAGCAGCAAGGAAGGAGGGTCCTATTCCTGAGTCTGTTCCTACTGTAAAGAATGCCAGCGAGAAGTTCTAAGAAAGTTTGTCATTTTCTTTTACAAAAGGGCCCATCATCTGTAAAGAAGAGGCAGTGTGTATAATCATTAGGAACTCTGATCTTCTGGTACCACCACCACTTACACAAGTCACTTACCCTTTTAGAGTATTCATTTCTTCATCATTAAAGTGGGAAAACAATACAACCTTAAGAGGTGTTGTGAAGATTCAGTGAGATAATGCAAACATATGGCATAGAAAGCATTCATGAAATGTTACCTGTGGCTATAAGCAGTGGTTAGAGATTGACTCTTAAAAACAAGCAATTAAAAAAATCAGAATATACTTTGTTCAGGGGTCTCATAGTGAACAAGTGACAAGGTTTTTTGTTACGAATAATAGCAGTGCATATACAGCACCCAGCAGAGTGGAAAACATTTAACAGGTGCTCAGTAATTTTTATTAGGTCATCATTTCTCAGAATAACATTGTGAAGAATAGTTTAAAAATAGTCTTTAATTTCCACATATATTTGATAATCCAAAAACCTTTCTGGTTATTTCCATAAATCAAAAAATCCTTATGATTATTTTTACTGTTTTGAATTATAGAGCTAGTATTTAAACTTGTTTAGAAATGGTTAATTTATACATACACTTCAAACTAAACATAGTTTAAAAAAAAGAAAATAGAGCACTTCAAATGAACACGGAAAAATGATTACATTTAATACACAATATTAAATCACTGAATTATTAGATTTATAAAAGCAGGTAACTGAAAGAAATAAGTGGCCAAATAAATATTGTTGTAAGAGAACAAGTTAAATTTTTTCCAGAAAACATATTTATATCAAATTTACATTTGAAAAGTTCTTAATTGAAATATACTAATCTTCTGCATTGCCAGGTAGTAAGATAACTCAAAGGATGTAAAATTTCAAAACCTAAAAAGTTTCAATGGACAATTAAACCAGCAGTTACTTTATTATAATGATCAAAATAGTGCTTAATGCTGGAGGTGTGCTAAGCAGGCACATAAATTTAGACTGTCATTTTATGAGCAACTTTGGAATTTATTATTTTATTTTAATACTAATTTATTACATACTTTGAAAAATAGAATGGTTTAAGGCAAAATTAAAGAAGTATACCTACCAACAATTAAGTAATTCACTAGAATTCAAATATCCTCAGTAGAGGACACCAAGCAATTTTGGAATTTAGACAATGATTTCCTTGAAGGTAAAATTATACATTAATATTTGCTTTTAAACATGCAAAGAAGCAAGGGGGTGTTTTACATACATGTTATATATATATATGTGTATATATATATATAATTTTTGTATTTGAACAAAATTTAGAAGTCTTCGGTAAAAAATATTCTGAAAATTTTTGCCATAATACTTTCGGGGCATTTATGGTTGTTATTAAAAAGTGCAACATTATATGATCCCAATTTGATTTTAGTATATAAAGGAGGAAATTGAGAATTCAGAATTATAGGATTTAGAACATAATCTATTCCCAGAAGACACCTGTAAAATTCCCTAAGAGGCTGAATTGACAACTGATTGTAGGTAATCCAGTTTCCATTTGCAGTTTTAACTGCAAAGAAAGATGCCCGATTGCTAATAATTAGAACCTTATGCACATTTATTACACACACACCTACCTTTTGTTTTCAAAATTAGCCCATTAGTTTAGAATATTCAAATTTGTCTTACACATTAATATTACACTGCAATTTATATTGTCTATCTCTGAGGACAGGAGAAAAATAGTATTTATCTATTTTTCTTACCCACATTATATATTAGGTTAGAGCTCTTTAATTTCATGCTATTCTGAATGGTAACAATGTTCTCTGGTTCTTAATGGCTGGTTTTCTTCTGTTGAAATCATAAAATCTCTATTAAATGCAACTGAATGGCAAAAACATATAAAGAATAATGGGTTGGAAATAGCTATTCACATTTTTACACGATACTTGGTGAATCACTGCCTCATTACATTTAAACAGTTTATAAGCAGTTTTATAGCTTTTGAAAAATATTCTACAATTGGGCATACTTTCTCAGAAAAATATATTGCATGTCTGGTACTTTATTTAAAGTATCTGAATGGTAGATTGATAAGCATTCTTCATTTTTGGGTAGCATATATTTTATTTAGACAGCAAACTTAATATAATACTAGTTACAAATTGAGATGTCAGAAATGAAGAAGAGTCTATAAATACTTGAACTTAAGAAAAAGTTCAGAGGTGTGAAAATATTTGAATTCAGAGGCATAAATTAATCTGAAATAATGATAGCTCAGAATATTGAATATAATTTATTAGTATATTATTTTAAAAACTGGTGGTCCTTGTAGACATAGTATTCTTATGAAAATATAAGTTAATTTGCACTGGATTTTTCTTAATAGCAAATAAAGTTAATTTTGTGTTAAATAACTTATTATTTTGTAGAGAGACTGCAGTTTCAGGCAAATGCCAATAGAGAGTCTTTGAAATTTATAGTTATCTATTATATGAGACACTGCTTGACCTGCTTAGCTTTTAACTATTAGTGTTTTAAAACAAAATTAATGATTATACATCAGTAAAATGTGTCATATAAAATGCAAAATATTTTTTTTAAATTTAAGACTACATCTATTTTAATAACATTTGGAAGCATAAAACTTAGGAAAAAAACCTTAAATAGTAGCTTTGCATTACCTGGAGACATTTAGATCTGCAGTGAGATAACTAAGCATAATTAAGATCCTTTTGAATGAATGTTGATACCATATTGACAACTGTCATTTCATTTTATCAGATTTGTTTTGCTAAGTTGTTGCATAATAAACTACAAACTTTAGGACAGCCAGAAATATGATTTCACCATAAAAATGAGAGAAAATCTTGTTTATGTTCAGATCCGAACTACTTTCTTGTTTATGATATATATTGAGGTTGAAACTCTAGGTGAAGCACATCTCTGCTTGTGGCTACATCTACTTCATTATAAAGCCAAGGTAACCTCATTTTATCATAAGGGGAGGACCAGGTGGAACTGATGAGTGGGTGAAGGATTGTGGGTAGAGAATTGGGCACTACTATTTGTATTTTCTTCAAGAGTGAAAATGTTGAGTAGACAATTCCCATAATTTGAAGAATAATAGTTTATAACCTCTAATAATAGCCAGACAGTTGTCATACCAGGGTTTTTTTGTTTTGTTTTTTTTTTTTGTGGCCATTAGTGTTAGGGTGCTAATGCATTCCTTTTTCTCGGTGGTGGGAATAAATGGACCAACCATCAATCAAATAATGAAATGGCTAGGTTAGAAGTTTTATTTACTTTTTTCAACAGCTTTAATAATTTTGCTTATGTAAAGTGTAATACTTGCTGTGATAAAGGATGCCTACTTGTTTTTATTAAAGCAAGAGTATCACGTGTTTCGCTTTCAAAAGGGTGCCCTAACTAAAGTACACAAAGGATTTTGAAATACCTATAATGTGTCCTGTTTTGTGAGGACAGGAGATGATTAAGGCAAGTCCCTGTCCTCAAACTGTTTATAATCTAGCTCTCTGCCAATACAGCTTCTCAACATATTCACTTAAAAACGTATTCTCAAGACCTGGCAAATCTATATTTCTATCCTTTTAGAACAAATAAAATGAAAACTCATACTTTTCATTCATTCTTGTGACAACCTTTTAACTAAACTACATTGCAGTTTATATATATATTTTTCTGGACAATTTCCTTTAATGTCAGTGTGATAAAATCTGTCTTTTCCTAAAAATATTCAACAAAGTAAGTGACTTACTTTCTCCAGGATATGTAGTTTGGTCTATTTTACTTTGTATTAGTAAATTTCATTCTCAAAATTAGTCCCTCATTCAGGGAGGACCCTTGTACTATTCTTTGGTGAAAAGGATTTTCTCATTGCTCTCAAGGAAGATCTCTATACAAAAAGGGGTGGATGGACTGAGGTCTTAGTTATGGAATCTTTAGGAAAGGCATTTTCAAATATGAGATTTCCATTACATGCCCACTGCTGGGGTTTCATTTGGAAAATTTGTTTACTCTTCCCCAGGGATTCCATATGTTGGTTGATATATAAATCATATTTACAATCCAATTAAATAGAGTAATTTAGCATGTTTGCTCCCTCTATATTTATGGTGTATATTTGGTAGTCTCTACTCAGCCTAACTAGCTTTTCAGATTAATTACATGCCCTTCACTGAAAACACTAAACAGATTTGGGGAGTTAAAGTCATGTACTCTTTTGCTGGAAAGAATAAACAAACATCCATGCTACCTGTGTTGCTCTCCTTTGCGGTGGGAACGTTTTCCCTTTCAGTGGTTGCTTCATAAATAACAATGACTTTATCCAGGAGAGACTTACATCTTTTACTAATGTCATATTTCAAAACTAATAGTGAGAAAATTGATGTGTTTATCGAGTCACCAGAATGAATAGTGAAGGTGGCAGGTACCTATTAAAGTATGTTTATTCTCTCATCTTGCTTAATGCCATTTCCTCCCTAAATTTCTAAATGTGAACTTTAAAAGCAAAAAGAAAAAAGAAGATAAAAACTTTTCATTCCAAATCTGGGTCATAATTTAACCTGAGGGAAAGTTTAGAGCTATTTTTATACTGTTTAAAGATTTTTTTAAGCAAACATTTTAGCCCCCCCCTTGCCTTTTTGTGGATGTCAAACTTCTCCCAGCTTCCCTTCCTACCCTTCATTTCTGCAACACAGAGGATGCCAAATCTCTAAAATTACTTTATGTTGCAGGTTTTAGAGAATTTTGAAATATTTATATTAATAATAATAACATAAAAGCAAGTTGGGTGCCTTCAGTGTGAGAAATTGGACAAATATGGAAAAATTAGTAGAGTTTTCATACTTGACAAACATAGTCGTAGAATAAGTGGGCACCTGAAGGTAACTCAGGCCTAAATCCAACGGTGTGCCCGCCTCCCTCCGAGTCCTGGGAAAGCTGTCTAAGATGGGACAGTAGTCTAGCCTGGTTTCTCAGGGCGAGCGATTCTGGGCAAAAAGATTGTAAGGGGACTGTAAACACTGCAACAAAATAGTTGAGGAGCCCCAAATAAAAGGGGGCATATCTAGGAGCAATTGTTCCAAAAAGAAGGGTGTAAGGGGAAGAAAGGGAAGATAACAAAGCCAGCGTTTCAGAGAGAACTGTCATTTGGATAATAGAAAAATACAAAGATTAAAAGAAGGGATAGAAAAAAGTTAGCTATGATGACAAAGAGATCTTGTCAACAGATTTTTTTCCCTGCTAACTAGAATGTTGTTTTTGTCATGTATAATATTAAGTAGGTTAACCTTATGTATTTATAAAATGTCGAGCAAAGGTTTTCCTTATTTTAAAAGTAATCATTATTACCTTAACATTTTAATCTGAACATTCCTATTTTACAACTCTTCGTACACGGTGGCCTCAACAGTACAAAATATTAATTAATGGTGGAATGAAAGAGGCCAAATGTGGATGCAAACATCTTTCCACAACTGAACTGGCATGAGACCTTTCCAAGCTAATTTCTCATAGGTTATTGGGGAAATCCTAAATAAACATGATCAGAACTATAATCTTGATGCAATGCTAGATTTCTTCTGCAATTTGATAGCTCACTATCTTCATACTCATCTGCTGAGAGCCTCACGGTGCCTCCTTTGAGCCATTCCCAGAAAGAAGGGAAAAAGATTTTTTTTAGAACTGAAGAAACAAAATGAGATATAGCAATGGGAATCTAGAAGAAGAAATGATATCTTCTGTTATCTCAAAAGATGCTCCAATTTCAGATTAAATTGTGTGTCTTTTAATTGTCCAGCAAAAGCAAAAAAAAATATATACTTGCTACAGAAGATCCTGCATCAGAAAAAGGTGATATTCTTTTAACACGTGGCCACTGACTTGCCAGTTGCACTAGGGAAAATGGCTGAATTCGTCAATCTACATTATTGTGTATAAAAAGAGAATAAGATTTCATTTATGTTAGATAATGATGTACAGTGGTTTGTTTCTTTAAAAATACAGTATCACCCTTTGGGACCCTTGTAATACATTTTAATTTTAATTCAACATTGTGTTGTGTTCCCTATATATTATCCTATAATTATTATAAACTCAATAGTACAACACAGTCCTCATTATCCGGTGAAATATGATGAATATTTCTCGGTGCCAGGACACACTTTCCTCTTCCCCATTTTTCAAAGAACAGGCGCTCTGGCAAACAGAACGGGAGGAACATGCCCTTACAGACCAAGGGCACAACGTTTAACCAATCTACTTTTATTCTTATTTTGTCAGCAATTCATGAGCAGCGTTAAATCATAGCCATGTATATATCCCACTCCAAGGATTAACTCTAAATTGAGGAAATCATTTTGAGACCCCATCACTGCATTCTCAGAGATGCGGAAGTGAGAATAATAACCAGACAAATTAAATTAGAAAATAATTTCTATGTTGCAATTGACTTGCAAAAAGCATCTAATTAACATATGCCTGCTTTACTTACCTCTAAGGATTAAATCAGTTTTACTAATAATAAATCTGTTATTTGCATTTTTACTTTCACTAAGAAATAGGTTGCTATGTTAATTCGCTCACATCGCTACCAGGAAGAAGGATGTACTCTTTATTTTTAAATAATGTAGAAATTGAGGGGAAAAAATTAGGTTACTTGAAGAAGGATGCTGAGTGTCCATGCCAGAATCAGATTAGAGATGAGGGTGTTTTTAGCGTTGTTTATAGTAACGATACCAACAATAATTGGATGCCAAGAAGAGCACCGTTTTTAGGCAGACATGCCTGTGAGAGCTGCTGCAAACCGAGATTTTACATTAAATTCATTTCAAGAGATTTGTCCACGTGGCCTTTAAAAATGCACATCACAGGGCCCCAAAACTTTGCGAGCAAATTTTCCAAATTCAAAACCACACATATGCAGGTTTTTTTATAGTTGAATCTCCAGTTTCTTTTTCGATAGAATAGCTCTGGAAAAAAATACCCCCAATGTTCATTTAAAAACCCTAAAAAGACAAACAGCCTGATTTTGCATGTCCTTGGTCCAATAAGCATTTACAACATGACGATGTAAAATACGGAGCATGTTTTATTTAACAAAGGTTGTGCTCATTTTGAGTTTCTAAACTGATAGCCCACGCTCTGTGCCCATTTTTCCTGGGAATGAAAGCCGCACCAACCAGGCCCTACACAAATGTCTCCACAGAAGAGCCGAACAAAACCGAGGTATGGAGAACGCTGGCAAAGGCATATGGATCGCAGAACAGATTCCAACACTATTTAATCACTACTAATTCTTTCCTCACCCTGCACTGCCTTCCTATAGTTCCAAATAGCAAAGCAAATACTGTGCATTTTCTGGTCCTAGCCTCCTCAAAACCTTTGTGGAAAGAATGATATCTTGTCTTTTGGCATTGTGTTTATTTAAGTAGCAAGACTGTGAATGCATTTAGAATATACTTAAGGTCAAATCTAAAAAAAAAATCAGAACGTAGAGTCAGAATATTGTTAGCTGCTACTACTCAAAACACAGTACAGCACAGTCTGCTTCTAGGAGCCTGTGAAATGCCAGCTGCTGTCATGTGCTTATTTTCACCTCCTCTCTTTTCCTGCTCCTCTTAGGCACCAAATGGCCTCCCGGCTGTGAGCAGTTTCGTGTCAGCATCCACCATGGCTCCTTACCCGACCCCGGCCCAAGTGTCACCTTACATGACCTACAGCGCTGCTCCTTCTGGTTATGTTGCTGGACATGGATGGCAACATGCCAGTGGCACCCCACTTTCCCCCCACAACTGTGACATTCCCGCGTCGCTGGCATTCAAGGGAATGCAGGCAGCCAGAGAAGGTAGTCACTCTGTCACAGCTTCCGCACTCTGATGGGAGATTCCGTCCGCCACAGCCTCACCCAGCGGCCCCCTCCGCACACCCTCCCCTTCCTGCCCTCCAACCCTTTTGCCTGGAGAGCTGGCTGTATGGACTCACGTCCTTTGTGCTGATGACACTTAATTATTTCTTGCCATAACTTCTCTCTCACAGAAAACCTGACAGGACGTTAGAATTTAGAAGCAAAAGCAATATTTAGGACTGAATGAGACATCTGTGCTGCCCACACACTGTTGTAATGTAGTGAAGAAACCTGCACCCCTCAAAGGGCTTAAGGAACTTTTTAAACTAGTCTTTGGTAAAACCACACGTGTATATTTATTCTAAATCAACCTAAACTTTTGAAATGTGCAATTGTTGAGATTTTTGCAAAATCAATAAAGGAAAATACATATAGAAAAAAAGTTATGCTACACCCTCTAATCAAATAAGGTGACCAGATAAGCCTTAATTTATCACTAGGAAACCAATCAGCAATTGATATGAGTGATCCTTTGTTTATCTTTAAAGAGGTGACCTATTTTTGTTAGAGAATATATGTATAACACAAGCAGTATCTGAATTTAGCTTCTCCCGGTGTTCTGACTTGGTTCCAAATATGACGATGTTTATATTTTCTATTAGTTTGTAAATATGGACTCTGGATGGTGCATTTGTGTTTTCGTCCCGTGGGATGTGTCCCCTCCCCCAGCCCTCTCTATTTTTTTCTTTCTTTTTGCAAAGGTGACTTTCTGGCAACGTCTTTGTCTCTGTTTGGTGGTGGGCTGCTCAGGCTCCTGGACCTGGACTTGCCATAAACTCTGTGTGTGCAGTGAAGGCTTCCCCATCTCATGAAGGACATTCTCTTTCTACAGCAGAGGATTCAAAAAGCAGCCTCAACAAGCCAGTCTCCCATTCTGTATCCTACCTAACCCAACAACACACACGCCAAACATGCAAAGACAAGAGGGTGGAAAATATCTGAACAAGAAGTCTCTAAGGGAAGTCACTTAGAAACTCATGTTGAATGTGAAACGCTTTGCAAAGACACTTAAAATGAACTTTACGTTAAGAGAACCACTGTGAAACTAAATTGTACTGTTATTGTTGGCTTACCTGTGCGTTCAGCAATCTCAGCCCCAAATTATGTTGTAATTTAAAGAAAGTGGAAAATTCTGCTCTAATGAATGTACAAATGGCTTGCTGTGAAGTTTACATTGTTGTACAGAAGCATGCTTCACATGTAGGTAAACTGGTGGTGGTATTAGAAATACAAATCCTATTTAATTTTAAAAATTTCCCTTTATTCATTTCTGGAGTTACAGGACACAGTGTAACTGATAAATCTTTCTAGACCCATTTTAATGTTAATAATAGAGCTGTGGGGTATATGTGTGTGTGAGCGTGTGACTATGTGTTGTATTTTAAAACAACTGATCTTCCTGAGCACAATTCTACAGTTTTTTTTTTTAATCTCATCTGTTGAGAAAGTTTGTCCTGTTTGGTAATATAGGTTTAAAAATACATTTTTAAAACATTGGGACAATCCATCTACTGGAAAATTAATATATTGCAAGTTTTGGGTATTCTGTGCAATAACTACCAGGGCCCGTCACCAGACGTGGGTGTGAGAGGTGCATTCATTCGGTGATTTCGACGCCTCCCTATCTGTGCCGTGCACAGCCCACAGGGCAATCCAGTTCCCGCACATCGGTTTCGTGGCTTCATCTGAAACTCAGATGGCTCGATTAACTGGGTTTTCAAGTCACTAGGATGTAAACAGTAAGCAGATTTCTGACCTACAAGTTATGTCCAAGAAGCTGCTTTCTTCAGGCAGCAGATATCATAGAGCTTTGAACTGCATTTATTTCTAAAGCCACCGAAATTCAGTGCTACAAACAGAGGATTATAACTTCAGGAGAAGAATAAGCAGAAGGAGCAGATGAACTCTCAGGGCCATAGTCTTCCTTTGATCTTGTAAAACTCCTGTTGACATCTGGAGTTCCTAGTCTGGTGAGAAAATAGACTATAAACCGAATGCAACAAATTACCAATCCAGTATCTTGGTGGAGACTTTAAAACCATACCACACAGGGACTCTCCTGCTGCCCAGAAAAAATGGCATAAGGTACAGGATTACTCCTTATCAGATGTTTTTAAGGTGGCTATTCGTAGTCTTTAAAAAACTATCAATTGTTTGTATGGAAACATAACTAAATGTTATTTTCTTTATCTAAATTAAGAAATCTCTTGTTATGCTATTTATAATTTTTTCTGGTTCTGTGTGTTTTAAAAATCTAATATTAATGATATCAAAGTCTTCTTGTTTTCTTTTCTTTTTTCCCCCTCTAGGTCTTTTCTTAGTAACAGTGAATTCACATGAAATAAATTTAAAAAAACAACAGAAACCCCAAATACAATTTGCTATACAGAGCAATTATGGTTTAAAGCTACTTTTAAAAATAAGAGAAGGAAAATGGGATGGGATACGAGGTTGAGATTGTTGGACTTTTGGACATTATTATTATTGATTAATGTCAACATATTTCCTCTGTTTCTTAGGGGGTAAAAGTGTTTTTTAACTGGCAAGTGCATTCTTCAGAGATTCTCTTGCATCCCGTCCGCACGGAGAGGTGAAGGATTCAATTCCATGGCCTCTCTCCCAGCAGAGAGAGAATTACCTGCAAGGTATTACCTGCGAGGACAGGATGCAGTTGTACAATAGACACATTCTTACTTCTCTTGTTTTTTCCTACTTTTGATGACACTCTTTTGAATATTGGGCTGAACTATAAATTAAAGAAAAACACTCTGGAAAGGATGTACAACCGAAGGCTGCGTATGTATATACAGTATGTCAAAAGCCTTTATTTTTATACTTCAAATGCTCTAAGTTAATAAAAAGTAATAATTACCATGTTATCTTTTATTTTTTATTTTCAAAATACCTTAGTGACATAGCCTCATGGCAGAAACACCCCATAGTCATAATTAATAACAGGTGTCACGCAGAACATGCAGATATTTTGGGTGATTTTTAGCTACTGAAGTAGCATCACTTAAGGATGCAGTTATAAAATTCTGTGGTTATATCAAAGCCAAGAAGATATTTGTTGAAGCGTGTGTTAGAGCAGGAATCTTTGGAAATGCTAAGAATGTACTTCTATTTGAAACGTTATTTTTTCCTGAATAATACATATCTTAACATTGCAAATAGACTTCACACCTGAAGCTGGTACTTATAACTAGTAATCTGGGAATGTACTTTTACTTTAAACATCCTTTTTAAGAATGGCATAGTAAGAGTTGTTAACAAAGGTATTTGGGTGCAAAGGCAGACAGCACAAATGGGCCCAAGGAGTGGTTCCAACCTGTGACTTAACATGAGCACATTTCAGCAACAAAACTGGTTTTCAAAGGGAACAATATGAAGGAAAGTAGTTTAATATAACTTCATGTCATAAGAGACTTCAAATATCTAGATTTTAAAGAATGACCTGCTTTAAACAACATTGCAAAATATAAAGTAGATTTTTCAAAGTAGAGCTGAGATATGTATTATTACTAAAAAAAAGATTTACATTTTAACATTAAAGTCAATATTTTTAAAAGACCATTTTAGTGCACTTCAAAAATATTTTCATTATGACTTTTAAATAGTATTTATGGAAGAGTTTAATTCTTAACAGAAATGTTTTAATTTTTTTTTTTTTACTTTAAGCATTTCTTGGCCACTTGGGAAAAATAATTAATCAAACAATGGATTTCATTGTATAATGATGCAGGTTAAACATAAGTCACAGAATTTATATTGCTTTTCTATGCTATTTCTTATATACCATTTCTATGCTACTTTTCTATATTCAGTCTCCATACCTTATTGCCTTATATTATTTTTCTTCTTACAATTTATGCATATAGCCATAACTACAGTCTCAAATTATGTAGAGATAATTTTTGAAGTATCACAATTTTTGAAGGTTTTGTCCTTAAATTGTTTTCCCCTTTATAATTGTATATGATTATTGTATAATTATAATTTGGAATTGTATCAGTTTAGCTGATAGTCTCAAAGTGCCATATAGCAAATATGAATTATCTCAAGGGGTAAAAACACTTCATAGGCAATCACCAGTTCTCCTGAAGCCACGAATAGGCATATTCATAAACCAGCAGCATCACTGCGCCACCTAGAAAAGAAAAGAGCTGGCTTTTATCACAAATCCTGTAAAACAATGTTGTCTTTCCCATAGAGTTTCCAAATCCATGAAGTCCCACGCAGCCTGTTGGGCCACGGCTGCTCAGAGTCATTCGTTCTTGAGCTCTAATACGTATGAATAAAACTCTGTGGAAAGTTCTCGGAGCAAAATCGAGACCATCTTGAGTCTCCAAATACATTTTTTCCCCTGGAGTTTCTGTAACTTTCATCATTTCTCATCAGATTCTTTTTCAGGCACTTTAAAAATTTAAAAGTAAATAAATATAGACATTTAGTCATGTAAGGGCCTGTGGCTTTCCTGTGAACAGAAGCCTTCAGATTCTTCATTTGTAGGCAAAGGATTTATCTTTTTCAGTCCATAATTAACATTGTTGTAATAGCATTCAAGAAGAAAATCTCTAAGATGGTGCTTGACACATGAATCTGGTTTTCTCTTACAGCTTTCAAACTGGATTGCAATGTGAAAAATAGCTTCTGAGTATCAAAAAAATATAAATTGCAAAACTAAGCTAGCTTTCAACCTCCTTTTGTTTTCATTCCTTTTATCTGCGTAGGACATGTGTGTCATTTGAAGATTTGGTAGTAGAGGTTGGGTGTCATAAGAGCACCATTCGTCTTGATAGAGAAAAGTTATATAATGGGCTGAAAAGAGACTTACTATGTAATATGTCAAGAGGAATGTGATATAGGGATCACATTCCTATATGTGATTATAGAAATCAAACCGGCTGAATACCTAGACATCAGGGAGCATTTGTATGTGGGCGATTTTGTGTTCTATCTGATGCAGTAAATTGTACATGTTCTGTGTCCTTTAAGACAATCTCTATCCTTTCATGTCTGTTTGAAAAATATCACAAAGTCAAAATGTGGATAAATATCCTCAGCACAACTTACAGAAGACTGGGCTGCGTGAACAGAGGACTGATTTCTGATGGAAAGAAATAGAAGTTGATTTTGGTTTTAGTTATTTTGTACACACTGCCATATGCTTTAAAAAAATCTACAGGCTGCACATGTTTGTGTAACCTTATACCGAAGATAATGATCTGCCTGTAATTTTCATTTTTAACCCATGAAGATACTCCAGTACACCCATCTCACTGCCATAGCCCCCTTGGCACGCTAGCAAGCAAGGAGGGGCACACTCAGAGGGTCGTCAATGTCTATGTAACTGCTGTGTTTGCTCTCAGTAACTATTCACGACGCAAGACAAGAACACACAGAATTGGGCTAGTTTTCAGCCTACTGATATTTAAACTTTAAACCACAGACTTTGAGAGTCTCCTTTCACAGAAGGTACCTATCAGTAGCTTCACTGAGTTACTACGGCTGTTACAAAAGCAAGATGAGATGTTTCTCCAGAATGAAGGATGGAAAGTCCAAGTTTATCTTTCCTTTTTTTTTACTTTCTCTCTCTCTCTTTTAAATCTTATCCTTAACTCAAAAGTCTTACCCTTCTATCTATCTTTCTTTCCCTTGAAGTAGGTCAGACTTGCATGTTTGGAATGAAAGTGGAAGCCAGGGCTTTGAATGAGATTCCCAGTTATTCAGTGTTGTTTATTTTGGACATGGCATTCACAACAGCCCTTTGCATTGGATTTAACACCACAGCAACTCAGGACACCTCATGCAAAAACATTCTGAAGAGCCTACCAAACATTTGCAAGCCTCCAAGAAAACTTGGGGTCAGATCATTTGAAGAGTTTTGGATTAAGTTTCTAGTCAATGACCACTGTAGTTTAACTCTCTAGGGTCTTCACACTTTTCAGGCCTATCCCCACCTGAGAAAGGGTTAGGGGCAGTCCTCTGATTTTCCCTAATGCTAGGTCAACTAGCAGACTTTTACTGTGGGGTGAAGCAAAAACACCATATACTTCCAGAGACAGTTGCACAAAATCACCAATATTCTCATTATTGCATTCTTTTATACACATGGGCCAATGACTAACAGAGGCATGTCTGAATCTCAAATGTGAAGCAAAATCTATACCCCAATGCCTAGAAAAGTTGGGACAGATGGATTGGGAATTGAGAAAGTGTTTTATAAATAAAAGAAAGTATAAATTGTTTACCAGCTTCAATTTACAGACAGTTGTTCTATATCTCAGGTTGGTAGAAATGCTGGTTCACCGGGTTGAGATCTAAGGGCAAATGCGCATGCACAGGAGGGTGGTAGGGGAGGAGGACAGGAGTGTTACTGAAGAATGGGAAAAGGAGAGAGAGGAGTAGGGGAAGGTTCTAGGGAAGATTACCAGGATGTCTAAGTAGGTGAGTGTGGCCTGCTAAAAAAAAATATGTGTGGTCTAGTGTATACTTCCGTACTTATTCACAGCATTGTTTATAATCCAAGACTATTTGCCCAGGGGTTGAGTCTGTAGCAGCTATTTTCTTATCTATTTACATTGAGGCAGCTGACTCTCCCTGAGAGAATGGCAGCCTTTTTTTTCATGGGCTGGCGTCCTGAGGTAAGGCCCTGAGCCAGGAGCCTCCACCAGCATGCTGACTTAGGCTGGGAAGGTGAGTGCCAAGCTCCACCACTCCCCGGAGGTGACTGCAGACAAGTGGCTCTTGCTGTTCCTGGAGGCAAAGTTGCTCTCCTTTTCTCTTTCTGAAATGGAGTTGAGGCAGGAGCAAGAATGAACTAGGAGCACCAAGAAAAGTTTTACTGGGCTGGTCCCTCACACACTGAAAATCCTCCTGTCCAGCCAAACGCCACCATGCATATACCTGAGTGCTCAGTCCAACTCCAACTGGCTGTGGATCCTTTCCTATTGACTCAAGCTGGCCTTTGGCTTCTATCAGCCTCCAGCAAGACCATGAATAGTACCTTATAAACACAGGTAGAACATTTCTAATGCACATGCCTTCAGTAGCTTGAATACTCACAGGCAACTTTATACCCTCAACATTTCTGGCTTTCACAGCGGGAGAAACTTTTATTGTGTTGCTGATAGACACCCATAAGAAAAAAAGAGACACTAGAACAATAACAAAGAAAGGGTATAAGTAATAAAAACACCATTACCTGGTCCAAGCCTCATAATCTTGGGAAGCAGGCCTTTGTACAGAGCTAGAATCCTGTAAGTGGAAGGAAAAGAGCAACGTTCTTATTCTGAAAACAACATAGAGTTGTACCTCAGCTTTACTGAGATGCTGACCCAGCATTTAAAAAAATTGTTTGAAATTATACACATCCTAAACCAGACAGTATCTGGGTTGATCGTCTCTGCAACAAATTGGACAAGGGGAAAGACTTTATTAATTCTTCATTACCCCAACTATGCCGGTCTCGCCCAATCAGAAGTGTGATTTCCATTGGCATGATGGTTTTTGCTTTCAAGACATGTCTTACTTTCAGGACAGCTATGTATACGCACACAGTGATTTTTGTAATTGAATTTATAAGGCCACAAACTGAGTCTTCACATAAGGAAGCATGATTCAGTTTAGATCAAAATGATAAAAAAAACCCCACTTGTTTAACTTGAGAATAAGACTTAGGTGAGGAGAGATGATGACACCAAAGTTAAGACTTAAAAAAAGACCAGCAGAAAGAGGCACATACTTTAAATTTTTAAAAGAAAACTACTTTCACAGAATCTGCATGTTTAATTCTCCCAGGAGAATATAGTTAGGATAATTCGGTGACATTTTAAGGACACGCACACTCAGAAAACAATGATTCTCCTGCCCATGTGTGTTAACAGGGCATATGATATGCAATAGCAGATAATGCAAACTAGCAAGTCGGAAGTGCCTGTCAGCATTTTGAGACAAACACGCAGCATATTGTGTGGTGGTGGTTCATGGTTCTTGACGGTGTGAGTACGTTTTGCCAACATGCCATTATTGTGTGGTTTCTCGAAGTTTGTCACCTATTCCCGAGAGCTTCTCAGACACACGCCTGACTTAAGAGGTCTTAATGGCTGTCATCAAAACGGAAGTACAGTCAGGTCTGAACAATCCTTGAGTCTTGCTCATTTATTAAAATAAGAATGTGTTACCCTTCTTCCTGATAGACCGTTGCCATTGTTTTAAAACAGGTTCTGTACTTGATCTCTCCAGGAACTGGCTGAGGCCCTTGAATCCTACTTTTGGCAACATCAAAAGGGATGTTAATGACTGAGGCTATTGTGCCTGAGAGAAGACCAATCCCAAATTTTCTCAAAAACTCCAAGGTTGGATCCTAAAAGAAAAGAAGAATAAAATAACAGAAAGGGAAGTGGAAGCCCCTAAACTGGTTAAACACTGCAGAGCGACCCGTATTTAAGCAGAGCACTGTGCTGCCGGCACCCTCCTGTTATTCCAGCGGAACACATTAGGACTTCCTAGGCTGGAACTTGTTTTCTTGACAATCCCATTGGCTATGTTTTTACACATGGTCTAAATTGCTGAAGTACACATTTCCTCACACAGGATTTATAAACACAGTTCATAAAGAAAGACTGGTATGGCATATGGGGATGATTTGTATAATTGGGCTTCACAATGTACTTAGTATTACTGTATCAAAACAGGAGAAATCCAAGCACACTATTAGCTAATTGGCCAGAATATTTTACAAATGACAGCAACTTCCACCATGAAGCCTACTAAAATGCTCATTTGTGTGTGGACCCCCAAACGTTAAATTAAATCAAGGCTACTCTCGGTCTGCTTCTATTCCTCTCCAGGTTTTTTGCATTTATTTTCACGTGTAGCTGATCCACTGTACTGAGAAGTGCTAGCTTCCTGTTATTAACAAACCAACTTGGGGAGGCCGCAACACAGCCTGTGACATTCTGTGCGTTATAAACAGTAGTAAGTCACTGGGCTAATTGGATGAAGAATTTACAACCCATTGTTCCTGAATCTTATTCTCCCTTCATGGCCAAGGAAGAAAAGGAGAGGGAGAGAGAGAGACAGAGAGAAAGAGTGAGAAAGGGAAGGGGCAGGGGAAGAAACAGAAAAGGTTGAGAGAGAGAGAGAGAGACTTCTTTCCATTTAAATTTAGCTCCTTTACTTTGGTCTGATTTGATTTTCCACCCCTCCCTGCTCTGCTTTCCGACATCAAAGTATTTAATTAGGTCTTATGTAGGAGTCACTTTCCTTCAGCCTATTTTTGTGCCCAGTGAGCTCACATTATGTTTTGTTATAATGAATTTGCTGGGAAGTTCTCATTATGTTTTCAGCCTCAGTCTTGCCCCAAAGACAGGTCATCACCTCACATACCATAAACTGCTAGAAGAGAGCCCAACTTCCACCTCTGTCCCCTGTCCTCTCTTCCGGTCAGTATTTCAGAAGTATCTTTACACAGAAACAATCTAGGTTACGCCACACTACTATTTTATCTAGCAGGAGAACTAAAAGGGGGGAACATTTCTGCTTAATTAACAAAAAAATTCAGGTCTGAACATTGCATGCTTCTAGGTCTACAGGAGAAGAAAATTTCTGGAAGTTTTGAAATTTTCAACTGAACCAAGAGCCAGAGACCATCACAGAAACTCCTATGTGGCTAGATAGGATCGGTAATAATTCTTGGATCCAGGCCATACAGGTGCCGGGTAGATTTAAAGGGATTGAAAAACCAACAGGGTGTTTCAACAGGAGAAACAATGCAGTGATTGCAGCGTGAGTGAGGTGTGTTTAAATAATCCCCCACCCCCATTTTTTCCTCTTTTACAAGGAGAGAAAAATGCCCCTGTGTTGGCCTTCTCCATTATGGTGCAGAGCAGAGCTGGCGCTCCGGAGGACGGCGGCCTCAGGACCCGCTCCGGTTGTCTGACTTTGCACAAGTCACCAAATCACAGTGTGTAAAATGGATGTTTTTAACACCTGCCTTACCTTTGAATTACATAATTTTTCTGAGAAATCAATAATAGCAATGACAGTTCTATGGGCGTTGTACAGGCCTGGCAGAAAATGGGTAGTATTTTTATGAAGCCTGTTTTCTAAAGACCGAAAGCACCCTGTAATAAGACTCTCTCATGGTGTCTCTGTGATGCAGCCAGGCTCTCTCCTTATTTTAACTGAGGACAAGAGTGAAAGGGATGGCTGTATGCACGATGTCCTTCTGAAAAGTTTAGGGGACCTTGTCAAGCATGCAGCCTCTTCTATCTCCTGATATATTCGCTGAGGATTAGAATTGAAGATGAAGGGTAAGCTAAGACACTCAGTCAAGGTCATAGTGCTTGAGACACTGTTGGAGACCAAAAGCTAAGGTCTTCGAGCCATTGTAGTGTTCACTGGCTGTATGTGTTGACTCAGTGTTTTCTGTATGTTTCCCAGCACAATAGTAAGGTCCCAAATTCAGCTCTGCTCAGAATCACCTGGGAGCTTTATAAAACGTGGATGCCTGGGCCCCACCTCAGATATGCGTTGGGTTCCCAGATCAGATTCACCTGGAAAAGTGCCTGAAAATTGTTTTCAAAGACCTTCAGCATTTCTGACGCTGCTGGGCTGAGACCCATATCTGGTTTCAGTGGCTGTGATATTTCTTTCACGCAAAGCAGATGGTCAGTTGCTCCTGCTCTGGGCATTTCATGAAGGAGAAGGGTCTTCTTGGGATGGCTGAGAGACATCCCTCAACCACCTGGCCTTGGGGCCTCTAGCCAGTCTCTTCCTCTGAGACCAGGGTCTGCCTCAGGTAGCAACCTGGCCTGGGGGAGCCCTCTCACCTCACCTCAGCTTTCTTTGCAACTTTTTGTCAGCCATCCTCGAATGAATGCAGCCTCTTAAATGCCTCTCGTCTTCACCGCCCCCCGCCCCCATGCTACTTCCACTCCTCTGGCTTTAGTTCAGATTCCCAGCACCTTCTCCAGGTCTTGCTTTGTTCTTGCTTTCTACTGTTTATTCCTCACCAGGATTCTCTTTTGATAAAAACAGTTCTGCTTTAGCTATCTCTCTACTCAAAGACTCTCGGTCTTTCCCCACTGCATGGAGAGGAAAGGCAAAGCTCCTTTGGTTTCTTTTCTACAATATCTGCCAACTTATTATGTCTCTAGGAAGTTCTATACCTTTACCGCCAAATCTATACTATGGTTACACTGGTTAGATCATAATACCACAAATTTATGCTAAGATTTTTTCTAACTCCGTACTTTTCCTGAAACTATTCCTACAGCCCAGAATGCCCTTCTCCATCATTTTTACTTATAGCAGGGTCTAGCTGAAATCTCATGTTTCCCAAGAGACTTATGGATCATGGTCAAAATTAATTTCTCCCTTTCTTGTATGCCTAAAACACTGTCTGAACAACCACTGTTCTTGCTATGGCTCACTTTGTGCTTCTTTTATTTTTGCTCTATCTATCTTCCCTGTTAAATTGTGAGTCAGCACAGCACAGAAGCCTCTTGTGTCATCTCTTACACAGTGTACAGAGTAGGTACTAAATAAATGCTGATTGGCCTATTAATTTTTTTACTCTTATTCACTCTTTTACTATTTTTACTCTTATTTACTCTTTTCATTTTTATTTTTTATCCTCACCTGAGGACATGCTTATCGATTTTTAGAGAAAGGGGAAGAGAAGAAGAGAGAGGGAAACATTGATGTGAGAGAGAAAACATTTATTTTTGTAGACACCATGAGGATCAAGCTTAACTTTTAATTACTATTTCTCAAGAATGAGTGTCTTCTAGCCTGGACATGAGCCCCTACTAGAATTTTATATTTCTGTCTTTCAGTCAGGAGGCATTAACATGGAGACATGAGAAGGCACTGGACATTTGTAAAGTAAACTACTTCAGGACAAATGAATTGATATTCTTGGGTCACAGAGCCAGATCTAGAGATTGCTTGACTTTACTGCTCAGTAACTCAGAGAAAGAACCATAGTATAGCAGACTGACCAGATTTTAGCAAAATAAAGAAATGGGCACAGAGTAAGCTTTTGAAATATTATTCTTTGGGCTCCTTTTAAAAAATCCTCACCCAAGAGAGAGAGAGAAATAGAGACTGTGTGTGTGTGAGAGAGAGAAACATCAATGTGAAAGAGAAACACTGAAAGGTTGCCTCCTGTGTGCCCCAACCAGAGGCTGAACCTGCAACCCAAGTATGTGCCCTGACCAGGGATTAAACCTTCAGCACTTTGGTATATAGGATGATACTCCAACCAACTGAGCCATCCAGAGAAGGATGGGCTCTTCTTTTTTTATACTTCCTGACCTTTCCCCTAGCAGGGAGAGGCATCCACTTGCCTCAAGAATGAAGACTGTTGGACTTACGGCCAAGATGGAGGCATAGGTAGATACACTGTGCCTCCTCCCATAACGAAAAGAAGGACGATAACAAATTTAAAAACAAAAACAACCAGAACTACCAGAAAATCAAACTGTATGGAAGTCTGACAACTAAGGCATTAAAGAAAAAACATGCATCTAGACTGGTAGGAGGAGTGGAGATGGCAAGGCAGTGACTGGAGCAGTGGGTGGTCTCACATTTGTGTGCTTATAAACCGGGAGGAACAACTGGGGAGTGAGACAGACTGCAGGACTCAGGGTCCCAGCATGTGGAAATAAAGCTTCAAACCTCTGACCAAAAAAAATCTGTGGGGGTTGAGGGGTCAGGAGAAACTCCCAACCTCACAGGAGAGTTTGTTGGAGAGACCTATGGGTTCCTATAACATACACAAAACCACCCACCCAGGAATCAGCACCAGAAGGACCCAATTTGCTTGTGGGTAGCAGTGAGAGTGACTGAAAGCCAGCACAGAGCTGAACAAGAGGCATCGTTCCCTCTCAGACCCCACCCCTCTCCCTCAGACAGTGCCACAACACAGTGATGTGGGTTGCCCCACGCTGGTGAACAGCTTAGGCTCTGCCTTTTACTACATAATAGGCATGCTGAGACAAAAAAAAAAAAGGCCCAAATGAAAGAACAGATCAAGGCTTCAGAAAAAATACAACTAAGTAATGAAGAGATAGCCAACCTATCAGAGGCACAGTTCAAAACACTGGTAATTAGGACGCTCATAGAATTGATTGAGTATGGTTGCAAAGTAGAGGAAAAAGTGAAGCCCATGAAAAGTGAAATAAAGGAAAATATAGAGGGAATCAACAGTGAAGGAAAAGAAACTGGGACTCAAATCAAAGATTTGGAACAGAAGGAAGAAATAAACATTTAACCAGAACAGAATGAAGAAACAACGAATTCAAAAAATGAGGAGAAACTTAGGGACTTCCAGGAAAACTTTAAATGTTCCAACAT